CTGTCTCTCTCTCTCTCTCTCTGTCTCTCTGTCTCTTTCTCTCCCTCTCTGTCTCTCTCTCTGTCTCTCCCTCTCTGTCTCTCTGTCTCTTTCTCTCTCTGTCTCTCTGTCTCTCTCTCTCTCTCTCTTCTGTCTCTCTCTGAATGCACAGTACCATCTATATGTGTACATATAATTTTAAGTAATTTTATTTCTTCAGTGTAAGTCCATCTATTCATCTTTTGTGTTTGTAGATATACACAAGTCGTGCCACCCAAATCAGATAGATAAGTACTTTGACTTGATGTGAGGAGAAAATCTCTAAGGACAGGCCTAACAAGCCTACTCAAACCCTGCAGTAAAGGAAGATTGCACCGTGACATGGAACATCGTTTGCCCTTGGGCAGCTCAAGCACACAAACACTAACTTTTGAGAAAGTGGAATAAATAACTTGCAGGGAGACACCTATCTTTGAATTAAAACTCCATGGTATCCTTTGTTCTTCAATATGATGTATAAAAATGTAAAGATGTGAAAAGAGAAGCTAAAGACCAGCAGAAGCTCAATAGTTAGATCACAGAGCTTGAGAAAGGAAAAACAAATCAAAATTCACTTAAACTCATTGTGACCTTCATGCCCATTATCATTTTATTGGTCGTTCCAGATAGTTTTCTATAGGAAAACCTAAATATATATTTTATAAAGACTGAATTATCATTTAAATCGTGTTATTATTTATAGTTATTTTGTAATGCAGTATTTGTCATAAAAATACAAACTTGACATATATGTATATATTTATTTTTCAAATGGAATTAGCAAGTAACTCTATTCAATATTACCATGTTAATATGGAAAAAAAATAGCTGCAAACCTGGGAAATGCAAGGGCATGTTGTGTATGCCTCAGAAAGCAAGCTGCAAGAGTTAACAAAACTGTTAAATCTTACTAATGATTCTATCACCAGTAAAATACATTAGCACCAATAATTTTGTTAAAGTAGGTCATTCATCTAGAATAAAAAGGGAGAAGAATGTGAATTAAATGCCAAGTGAGCTAAGTCGCCTCTGCTAACTTGTTAACACCGAATGCGATGCCCCGTAGGCCTCCCTGAGTATCGTTAGGAATAGATTACCTGTCAGGAATATGTATGGCATATTCAAATAAGCACTGCACATATTTTTAAAACTGATATGATATGAATCCATGTAGACCAATTTTAATAGTTCAAAATGAGTCATAATTCTTGTTAACAATACAGTTATTTTTAAAATTTGCAGCAATTGTGGTCCTTTTTTATTTTCCTTATTGAAATTAAATGATATGCCTTAGGTGGCTCATTCATCACGCTGAGGAACTCGCCTTCCTCCAGAGTTCTTGAATTTTTACCCACATATACACGCACACAGAGTGCGTCCCTCCCAGCTTGGAAAGGCTTTTGCTGCATGTAAGTTCCTGAGTCCACGTTTGACTCTTATTTTGGGACAAATTTCTGTTGCAATTATTCCTTGGAGTAAGTGTTTCTATTCACTCGGCTCCACACAGGCCCGTAACCTCATGGATCCCTAAAGGCTACTGAGCCTTTTGCATCTAACATTCACCGTTTCAGTTCTTCTCAGTCCGTTTTCCTGGTTATGCCCTTTGGTGAGACGAACCTAAGTTGGCACAGATTTAACTCCCCTTTTTGTAAAATGGGTGTGTGTGCTTCTTAAAACTAGAGGTAACATAAAGAGCAGAATGGGCTGAGTGTTTCAAGAGGCGTGTTCTGATTCACATAGCATGACAAGCAGCGTGGCTGCTTTAGGAGCCATGAACCACAAAATTTATATCAACAGCATGCAAAAGAACTAAGATAAAAATTTCTATGGATCAGTTTTATTTATATCAATTATTTGGATGTGGAATATTCAGAGGCAATTGTATATACTTTTGTTACCAAAATGATTATCAGCTTAATGTTCTATTTTGTTCATTCTCCCCAGCTTTCTTAAGGTATAGCTAACAGGCTGGGGAGATAGCTCAACGGTCCAAGTGCCTGCCTGGCAAGCGCAAGTGCCTGCGCTTGATTCCTGTTACCATATGCCATGCTGGACCCTCCCTGGGCTCCCTAAGCTGGCCACTGAAACTGGTTGTGGTGATGCACACCTGTAATCCCAGTACCAAACACATAAATTAAGAAAAGGGATAGCTAATAAATAAATATAGCTAATGATAAACAAAAATTTTATATATTTACAGTGTACAGCATGATATAGTGTATATAAATATATAACTGCAACCCTAATGAAAGGTCATTGTCATATCAGCCATCTTTAAGATAAAATCATCAATTTTCATGTACACAATGTATTATTTTTACCTATATGTGGTAAGATGGATCTCTGCTACTTATTTATCCTGTCTGCTGAAACTTTGTAGCCAGCTTAATATTTTATTAAATATTTTTAAGGAATTCTGATTTCTAAAATGTAACAGTGAGTTAACCTGCAAGTCTATACTTCTAAATGACCACATTTTGTTAATGTAATTTTAAAAGAGGGAAAGAGCTGCTGAGTGCATAACAGGAACAACATTTACATCAAACATTGTTTTGTATGAAGTAAAACAAACAAACAAACAAAAAACCCCCACGAAGTTGGTGAAGCGCATGCCCAGAAAGCGGCCCCGGAAGCCCGCCTGAGCTTCGCTCTCGTGTCTCTAGCCCATCACCTACTCGCTGTGGTGTTGCATATCAGAAAAGCCCAATATTGTGTGCCTTCGTTAAATGTCTGCAGTGTCACCGTCTGGGATGGAAACCTGTCCCCAGTCTCACCTTTGTAAACATCTTTTATTTTTAGGTCTCAGATGTGATCACTGCAAGTTTGGGTTCAAATTTCTCCAAAGTTTAAACCGTGGTGGATGTGAACCCTGCCAGTGTGATCTGCACGGCTCTGTGAACCAAATCTGCAATCCTCACTCCGGCCAGTGTGAGTGTAAGAAAGACGTCAGAGGGCTGCGCTGTGACACCTGCAGAGAGCACTTCTATGGGCTGGACACGGCTGGCTGCAAGGCCTGCGCGTGCGATGCGGCCGGCTCGGTCCCTGGGACCGTCTGCGACGCCGAGACAGGACAGTGTAAATGCAGGCCCACCGTGGGAGGCAGGCAGTGCAGGGACTGCGTGGAAGGCTTCTTCCCCGGAAAGCACAATGACTCGCTGCTCTGCCTGCCCTGTCGCTGTGAGAAATCCGGGACAGTAAATGGCTCTCTGCTGTGTGACAAAGCGACAGGACAGTGTCCTTGCAAATTAGGGGTAACGGGTCTGCGCTGCAACCAGTGTGAGCCTCACAGGTACCATCTGACCAGGGGCGGTTTGCAAGGCTGCCTGATGTGTGACTGCGACTCCCTGGGGACAATCCCCGGGACCACATGCGACCCGGTCAGCGGCCAGTGCACGTGTTTGCCTAATCGTCAAGGAAGAAGGTGTGATCGGTGTCAGTCAGGTAAGAGACAGCTGCGTTACACCTGCAGGGCAGAGACTTTCTTCTGTTACCTTATCCCAGGTGACACCTCTGTTTCTCTTCTGGAATGTCTAAAGATTTACCTCCAGCACCACTGTGGCGTTTATGTAATGCTTGGCGAGTTAACATTATTTCGCTTATTTAAGATTTGCGTTGTGATTTTGGCAGGAGAGCGGCGCCATGGAGTACTCGCCGTTCTGAAACTTATACCTGTGAATTTCTCAGTTTGAAGTAGACCTTCTTTTCACTATTGAACACTTTGATTAAGAAAATCAGGAAGAATTTTATTTTCCAAGAGAAGAGAACCATGAGTTAATTATCTATACACGGCAAGGAATACAACGTAGATGAATTGAATCGTAGCTTTCATTTGAAATTGGTCAATGTGGCAGTGAGTCCAAAGAGACAGGAAGGAATTGATAAGTAGTCAATTATTTTTTTCTGAGACCTGAGCCTCAGAAAGCAACCAGAACTAGCGCGGCTGCTGATATGGACTATCTCGTACATGGTGGCCAGCCCAGTGCACGGCTGCGGGGCAGGGCAAGGGGAACTTTAAAGCAGCCGCTGCTACGTGGCCTTTCGCGCTCACGCTTGCCAATTCACTCTCTCCCTCTCTCACTGCAGAAGGGCACTCGCCTTTCCTGCTCCTCTGTTCACGGGAACATGACCGCTCTGTGACCCTGCTCCTGCTCGTAATTCCCTTCTAGCTACATGTGGGGGCTGGCACGCTGCCTCTTGGGGGCAGCTCCAAGAGGGGATTCTAACTGACTTCGCCTTCTTTGGTGGCTACCTCTGAGCCAGGACTACCAGGGTCCACTAAATGGACCTGGCTTCTAGGAAGCACTCCTGGGAGGTAGGAGGCAAGGTGGTAAATATCCCAGAAAGGAGGAAGGTTATCGGGAGCTGGGCAGAGTACCGCGGACAGCTACAGCACATTGTGCCCCTTTAATTTTGGGCTCATCCTTCTAAATTTGCAACCAGTTAACTATTTTTGATGTCCTAAGGGAATATTTTTCTGTTTTAAAAACATTTTACTCTTTCAAATAGCTCTAACTTTAGAAATAATATACTCAGTCTTTTGCAAAGTCAGATTACTATAATGTAGACATCTTTCCTAAGGAAACAAACAAATCTAATAGGCTGTGTATTATATCCTTTTGAGTAATTTTCATTTGTTGCAATGAGGTTTCATTCGGATGTAACTGTACACAGAACACAGGTCACATTTTGAGCCACTTTCTAAAATTTGGCTAGAATTCTGAGGTCAGTACAACAAAACATCTGTTCCTTTTGGTCCTTCTTGAGGCAATCTCAACACACCACTCCAGGTCTTTTATCTTTCAATGAGTTAAATGGTGGACTGAACCTCTCTAAAGTCCTCTGACTGTGGCTTTTGGGGTATTTTTGTGTTATGTAGAAACAGCTGTAGATGAATTAAGTACCAGCTCGCTAAATAAACAGGCATTTCCTTATCTCTGCTGTGCAAAGCCTGTCTTAATCGGGTCTTCACTGAGATGAAGAAATGCTGGCTGGATTGCTTTTTGCCTTCCTTTGGTGGTTTTCACTGTGGTCTTCTCTGTTCCCTCATCTATGCTCTCTCCTCCTCTCCTTGGCTCACTCCTGTCGGTCCCATACAGTGCGGATGCAGTGGCTCCCTGGAGCTCTTCCTCCATTGTGTCTTTCTCCTCTAGGGCTCCCTAGGATGGGTTTCCTTCTGCTTATCACTCATCTGGTCCAGCCTCAGGAGTTTTGGTCTGGTCCCTGCATCTAACTTGATTCTAATAGTCCAATACTTATCAACTCCCTCTCTTTCCTAGGTCACTGCAGACATTTTCTGCACGCTACGCAGATTGATTGTGGAGTTGATTTCTACCTGAAAGCTGAGGATGGTTCCTCTTCTGTTCATTTCATTGCCAGAATGTTTTGTGCATACTAGACATTCTTGCTGTAGCCAATTGATGATGGTCAACTGTCAAGTTATTTCTTACAGAATGAGAAAGAATCAGAATGCCAGATAGTCATCATTTTCAGTTTAGTGGTTAGTGCTTTCATAAAGCTTTTTCTATTCAAAATTCTGCCTGTAATTCTTCATCATCAACTCAGTGAAGTGTAGTCATTCAGTCAGCATTAAGCATCTGTGTTTCAAAGGGTGGCTTTGTTAATCTGTAGGAAACTTGACTATGATGAGCTTTTGAAAATGCTCCCAGGCTTGCATTCTCCTTTTGTGATACTTATTATTTAAATGTAAAAAGAAGGTCCCAGGAGCCAGGGAGGTGGCTCAGTAGAGTAAGTGCTTCCCTGGCAAGCACAAGGGTCTGAGTTCAATCCCCAGTTCCTCAAAATAAATAAATAAATAAATAAAAGTCCCATTTAAGAAATAATAATAGACACCTCTTTGTAAATAGTTCTGCAAGTACCTTTCTTCTGAAGGTCATGTGGACCTATTGATGAGATCAGTGAGTTAGGGAGAAGGAGCAGTAACTGGTAAATAACTATATTTTTCTTGTCCATTCATCCATTGATGCAAAGAATGCCAGACTAAAATCTTGTCATTTGTCATTTACATTTTTGGGCACTGTATGGGCACACCTAGCTGCAAGAGAGTCTGAGGAATAGGTTCTCAATCTGGATATCCATGTATCCATCACATCTTTATACCTCTGTTATTATAAGTGATAAGAAAGTGGGTTGCATGTGGCAGTTAGTCTGTAGTAGGGATGTCCTATGTTTAGGAAGTTTGCTTGAGGAACCCTGGAATAGATGCTTCTAGTGACAGTGGGTTTGGTACTTTTTGGATCATTCTGATTACTAATAATTTTTTTAAAAATAGCTAAAATAATAGCACCCAACAAAATATAATTATCTCATTCTAGCCTTTCACACCTCTGCTCCTAGGTCAGCACCACCAGAGAAGCCCTGATACGTAGTAGCTCACCCTAGCAAGAGGCAGTACGAGTCTCCGAATGAGGCCAAGCATGGAGGAGACAGAGAAATGGGGAGAAACCTTGCTCCTGTGTCTCCACAGATATCCAGAGGCCTTTATAATGTTTGGCCAATTTTTTGAAAAAGAGACTAATGATCTTTCGTATGTAGATACTATTGATTCCTTAGCTTAATAAAATGATATTGTATTTGCACAAGTGAGTAAATTTCCATTGAGTTTAAATTCTGATGTAGAAACTGCCAAATAAATTGACTTACAAATAAATACAGAAGGGAAATAAATAAAAAGTCACAGTGAGTAAAGTACAAGCATAATTTAATCATTATTATCTGTATTAAGAGTATGGATGCCCATTCTGTATTTACTTGATTGAGTACATTGATGGATTGATTGATTGAGTGATTATTGGCCTGGGGATTGATCCTAGGGCTTTGTTCTGGGCTGCTCCCCAATTCATTTCTGTGTTCTACTATGAGACAGGTCCTCTCAAAGTCACCTACTTGTGCATGATGGGCACAAACCTGTAGCCTTCCAGCCTTGGCTTCTTGGAGTGGTTGAATTAGAGGCATGAAACAGTACAGTGAACTCTGTATTTTCCTTTAAAGGAGAGGACAGAAATATTTGAAAGGAGTTTTATGACATCTATATTAGGCAAATGCAGCCAAGAAATTGTTCTAAGGAACATAACTTGTATTAGATAAACCCCAAACAGGTCCAGGAGGGGATAAGAAAACAGAATATGTAAAGGTAAGAATTAAAATTAATTTTTTAGTCTTTTCACATTTGGATTTAATTTGTATTTTTTAATCAAACATTTTGTAACTGTGCAATCCTAATTGAAACTTTCTTCTAAAAATCTCTTTCTTCAGAGCA